GTCACTCTCACGCTGACTGCGAGCCATAAATAGCTGAAAAACACAGCAGTTCATTTGACATTCAGTGTGGACGGGTAAGTGCTGATACCTGTCAAGTCTGACGACACTATATAATGGCCTGCAGATGCTATTACAACAGCTGTGGTGTGTTTAGGTTTAACCCATAGACTGTAAAAAAAGATGGACGACGACCCTTCATTCTCATCCATTGGAAAATCCCCAAAAAGTCAGTTGGTGCCTATCATAGACTGTAAAAAAAAAAAGAGCGGACTAGTTCGTTTAGAGAAACTGTCAATCACAGCTGTCAATCATGACGTCACATTCCCGTTTTTATAGCATCAAATAACTAAGATCAAACTTATAAAAAAAAAAAAAACGAACACTTAAATTTACATCAGCGTGAAAAAAAACGACCAAAAATGACAGAAAGCATCTTTGGAAACAACGCAAAGTGTAATTTGATTGTTTAGTTTCCATCGCGTTCATTAGACTTCATGGGGAGGCGTGGTTTATATTTATATACTAGGACCGGCCACCGGGGGGCGATCGAGACGCTTTGGATTCACTTTTCAGGACTTGTGTGACACGCTTGGTTTGGGTTTAACCCGGCATAGACTGTAAAAAAAATGTTTAACCCCATCCTTCCCTCGGGTCATTTTGAGCCGAAACTTTTTTTTTAAATTGAGTGTTCATCAGAGGGGTCCAAGACTCTAGGACTTTTGTCGCTCTTGAACCACGACACGAATGAATACACACAAAAAAGTTGAATGGATTCGAGGAGTTTTGTGGTTGAAATAAAAAAAAAGTAACACATCCTTCATTCGCGGGTCAATTTGACCCCCTTAGGAATTAATGGACTGTGAGGAATGCTTCAGTACACATAGAAAAACCTAAAAATGCTCAAACTTTACCAAAAAATTATTTTATAATGTCTACATGTGTATCTGAATGCATACTGAAGAAAAGCTGACTTTAGGACCCAGCGGAACGGCTCATTTGCTCCATAAATAGAGCAATAAGGCCTTCTAGAGTCATGAAATATCATGTTATATTATTGTTTTTCCCCCAAGAGGTCGGCAAAGACACCCAATGTAAGATATTTTGAGCTGAATTAAAAGGGTCATGCATGAAATTGTGAGTTATTTTGAATTTAAGTGTGAAAGAATGCGAGGAATGTTCTTAAATTAATATTTATTTATTATTTATTGATCAAATCTAGTAATTTAAAGGTAAAAAAAAAAAAAAAACGGCATAAAAAAAAAAAATTAGTGAAATGAAATAAGCTTTCTGAAAAAAAAAAAAAAAAAAAAAAAAATCAGTATAATTTTAAGGGCGTCGGGTCATTTTGCCCCTCGAGGGAAAGATGAGGGTTCGACACCGTACACATCAGCACCAGGTTTACCAAGCTGACCGTAATACGTGATTCTCGTCTTTGTCTTGTGGTCAGATGGTCATTTCTAGACTCCTGATGGCTGTTACCAAGACAACCGCCGGTTTCGCAGGTTAGGTGTGAAGGGACATTGCGGGGAACGGGTCGAGCATGATGTCATCGCCAGCTATTAATAACTCAGGAATTCCACTTCTAGTGTTATAAACAAGCTGATGTGACAGAATTCATCATCGCTGCATGCATAACCTTGAGGGGCGCGCAGAATATCAATGATTTCTTTATCTAGGCCATGTTTTTATTATATAAATAATTGCTTTACATGCACCCTCGCTTTTAGGTGAAAACAAACACAGCAGGTTTTAGAAGCCAGAGGACGTTGTAGAGGAGAGAAAAGCGAAGGAGGAGGAGGAGGGGGAATAAAAGAGAGAAGAGTTTTCCAGGTTGAAGAGCTCCAGTCCCCGGTAACTCACGTCTCGGGTATCAGCCGGAGGGGGATTGAGCGTCGGCACAGAATACAGAAGCCGTGTCAGAACGGCACATAGAAACAGCCGTGAGGAGAATAGCAAACGAAACCAGCGTGTCATCGCACATTTACAGACTCTTTACACTGTCCCGCACTCGACAGGCCTGTGAACATCCCTGCTATTGGTTTCAGGCTCAGGACCACCTCAGGGAGAACTGGGATTACCTTTTCATACCGATACCACACTGTACACATTGGTGTTTTCTATATACTGTATATACTGCATATGTGTGTATATATAAATATGTACACGTCTATTTATACACATATATATTGTATATTTGCGTGTATGTCTAAGTAGACAGACATGTATATATAAACATATATAGACACATATATAGCCTACATATACATATATAGACACATGAGTCTATATACATGTCTATATATAATATATATTTACAGGTATATATATATATATGTGTGTGTATGTGTATATATATATATACACACACATATATATCCATGTTTATATATAGACATAAGATGTATATATAGACACACACATACAGGTGAAACTCAAAAAATTTGAATATGGTGCAAAAGTTAATTTATTTTAGTAATTCAACTTAAAAGGTGAAACTAATATATTATATAGACTCATTACATGCAAAGTGAGATATTTCAAGCCTTTGTTTGTTATAATTTTGATGATTTATGGATTACAGCTGTGAAAACCTTTTCACAATATTCTAATTTTGAATTTGGGGTTTTCATAAGCTGTAAGCCATAATCATCACAATTATAACAAACAAAGGCTTGAAATATCTCATTTTGCATGTAATGAGTCTATATAATATATTAGTTTCACCTTTTAAGTTGAATTACTGAAATAAACTTTTGCACGATATTCTAATTTTTCGAGTTTCACCTGTATATAATATATTTACAAGTCTATGTATGTATATATGTATACACATATATAAATATGCATATATATATATATATATATGACATAAGTAGACATGTATATATAAACAGACACATACATGTGTGTGTGGGTCTATCCATATATAGATCCAGGCCATCGGTTCAGAATTGTTGTGAAAATGAAATCAAAAAGGACTATATTAATAAATATTATTTTCTATAATATTTAGTCTTACTGTGAAAGATTCATCAGTGCATGTTCTTCCAACAGAGAAAAAACAAAACAGTTTTGTAATCTTTCATCTAAAATGTAATTCCGCTTCTTCTGAAACGACTGTCCTTTTTGGCTTACATCACTAAACCCCTCATCCAACCACCTGACGTACAGAGCAGATCCATGCTGGTATGAAACACACACTTTCCACAATCCAATCAATAATAATAATAATAATCATCATAATCCCCCCTCCCCTCCCCCAAGAATATTAATTCACCCGAAATACGTCACAATGGGTTGGATTATGTTAATGCTAAAGTCTACAATCTTGCTGCTCAGTCCATGTGAGAGGAATGAAAAAGTTCAGATTTGGTTTTCTAGAAAAAAAAACCCAGCGTGCCTGAAAATGATTAACATTCTGTAATCCAGGGAAAACATGCTGATACTACTTGCACTCTTTTGCTAGATTGTTCTGCAGTTCTCATTAAAGAAACAACACATGCCTCTTAAGAATTATATTTATATACACACACACTGTATTTATATGCATAATTTCTAAAAAAAACAAACAAAGAAAACAATGTACATGAACAGAACTTGTTTGTGACTAACACAAATAACCTTTAAAATTGTACTTTAAAATCATGTTGTAAATGTGAAAGACAGTCTCGTAATGCTCAGGTGACATCTGCAAAACGAAAAACAAGGTATGCAGTCCTTAATCGGTTTAAATTGGCCAAAAACGGCACGAGTAAGACACACTGAAGACTGAACCCTGAGAGGTTTGAGGGTAATCAGGAGGTATGGCTTTCACCGCTGCCAAAGTCTGAGGACCTGCTCGGAAAATTCACTTCTTTCCCCTTCGGATATGAGATACTTTATTCGTAAGCTTGAGCTGTACTTAAAAATCTAGTCGACAAATTCAAACAACCCTCTGTTATTGATTTACAAAGAACAATAAGTGCATAGAGATAAAGATAAAATGTTTTTGAGGCCAAGAACACATTAAACTGTTCAACAAGAGCTTTTAAGTATCCCAAAATGATCCAAATAACTCTTCAGCATAGGATATTTAGTAAGAAAACTGGACAGATTGGAATATTCTAGGTTATAATCAAGTAAAACATAAAAACGTGGGCACTTACAATGCTGGTCAATGGGACAAGTACACAGTTGCCTCACAGACTTCTAAGTGCACTTCTCTATGCACATTTTTCGGTAGCTTTTACAGTTTTGTTGTGGAAACCACAAGGGCTTAACTTGTATATAATACCCAAAGTATTCCTTTGATCTCTGTCAAAAACTGCTTTGAGCTCATTGATGGCAGGGACATTAAGGCTTTAAATTGTTGATTTGAGTGTTCATATAAATTAAAAACAATCATATAAAAGGAAAAAAACGGCTCAGGCATGTATTTATACATATAAAACCTTCATTAAAACAGCAAATAAACATGCTGAAAGGTAATACAGTGAAGTTCCAACACAATTCTTCGTTCCTCGGTAAGAAACTGCATCATGGGAAAGGCCTCCCGTCAGCAGGGGGCGGTGTGGAGTGAAAAACAAACAAGACGAACGTAAACACGCATATATGACCAAGTTTGGAAATCACAAGGGTGATCGTTTACAAACAGCTCAGTATAAACTGCAAGATGACATCAGACATGTCAACAGTCCTTTTGGGTTTTAGCGTGTCTATTTACGGGAAGCGAGAGGGTGGCGCTTCAGGCTCATTTCCTAAAATTAGAGATGAAACGTTTCATACGCTTCCCCCAGTGCGTTTTGTGTTTGCAGTGCTTGAAATGAACATTTCCTATCAAAAGGTTTGTAAATAGCCCTTGATTTCCTCTGATAGTGAATCCGAGTTCAACCCTCAGACAAACAGGAGCAAGATTTGCGTTGAGTTCGCGCTGTAAACTCCTCGCGTCTAAAACAAGGAGACAAACGTACATTCATTTAGCGTCCGATTCACGACTACGATCTTCCCGAGCTTAAGCCCGTTTGAAGAAAACGCTCGGATAATTTGGTCATCAGAGATTCCCGTCGTCCAGCATCTTGTTGACTCCTTCGCAGATCTTCTGCAAGTGGCCGCGATACACTTCCGAAGGTCCGTACAGCGCCGCGAGAAAGTCGCAGTCGGAGAAGTGATTGAAGACGTGGTTGATCCGGCCGTGGGATTTGGCCGTCAGGTGCCGGTTAATGGCCTGGTGAAGCAGTTCGCGGCAGTCGTTGAGTAAGTTGCTCATGACGCGCCGGTCGAAGGTGAAGTCGATCTGGTAGAAGCTAACGGTCGTCATCGCGAGCGTGTGCACTTTCTTCCGGAAGCGCTCGACCAGCGCGAGCTCCTCGTTGTTGAACTGGCCGTTGCGGTAGAGGACGCCCAGCTTGACCACCATCTTAATGAGGTTCTTGATGATCTTCTGGGCCTCCTTGCGGTTTCGCGTGTACTCTTTGGTCACCCGGTACAGCTCGTCCAGTACCTCGCTGCTGGTGTCGTCTATGAACAGGTTGGCCATCGTCTTGGTCGCCATCTTGCTCATGAGCTTCTTCTGGGCCTGAAGGGCGAGGTTCTTGGTGCTGAACGAGTCCATGATGTCTACGGATGAGACACAAACAAAGAGTCAAGGTCAACGTTTATTTATATAGCACAATTTATACAGCCGAAGCTGACCAACGTGCTTTACGAAACATCAAAACACGTCAGACAAATTATCTAAGTGTTAATGCCCGACGAGGTGTCCATGTCAGGTATTAATGGACGACGGCGAGGCGTGAACCGTCCGACGCGCAGCGGAGTCCATTAATACCTAGACATGGACACCTCGAAGGGCATTAACCCGCTAATACCACGATCACCTGCCAAATAACACATTAGTTTATATTTTAATTAGTTTTACAATCGGAATCTAAAGTTTTTACAAACAATAACTTGGTTTCCCTGGTTACGCCTGACGGTTTATTTAGCAACCGGTAGTGATGTATGTCTCGAGACCGGTCTCGAGACCACTTTTACGTGGTCTCGGTCTTGTCACGGCCTTGACGGTCTTTGGTCTCGGTCTTGTCTAGGTCTCGCTGTCTCAGACCGACATAGTGGTCAGGGGATTTAGCAATACATTACTACAATATCCACGACGATATCCGCAACGGATTGAAGCGCGCGTCCGAGTGAAGACAGTGCGGTGCGCGCGAGCCACGCGAGAAAACACTGTATCCGCGCCACTGATCCCAGCGGCAACGAGCACTTTGATCACTTGATTTAAAAAACACATATCATGTACAGTTTTTGATATATTAATATTTAGTAAAACACATATCAGTGACATGATGGGTTTTACCTTCATTCAGGAGATTTTGGGTAACTGCACAATTGACAGATGACTTTGAGCGCACCGCCAACGGTGTGTGTGTGTGTGTGTGTGTGTGTGTGTAACCATAGCAACAAAAACGACCAACTTTCGGATCCTGCACTTAAGCCTATAATTTTGTTTTTAAAAATATAATTATGTATTTAAAAGTTGCAGAATGGATTCATTTGGAGACTTCGAAATCAGCAGAGATAGGCAGGCAAATGCAAAACAACATTTGACAAGTTATTGCTTAGCTTCAACACTAATGTTTTTTTCCCCTCCGGTCTCGACTTGGTCTCGGTCTTAGTCTCGACTTGGTCTTGGTCTCGACTTGGTCTGTCTTGGTCTTGGTCTCGATACCATCTGGTCTTGGTAGTGTCTTGGTCTCGGTTTAGGCGGTCTCGACTACAAGTCTAGCAACCGGAGATATTTATAGTGCGCTCAGCTCGGAGAAGCCTTCAGTTTAGCTAACTTACGAGCCAGAAACTTCACATGTTTTTTTTCCTGTAAGTTAGGCTTGTCTAGCCACGGGCGTTACACTTTCGTTTTATTTAACCTATAATTAAAACACACAGGTAGGCGTAGTATAACGGCCAACTAGATGTTTGTTTTGATACAATAAATGGTAACCGGATACGTTGACGGCCTGTTGCTATGGTTACTCACAGCTGATGTCGCCAGCGCATTTATTTATTAATCTCGAACGGTAAACAGTCAGTTTTCACCAGAACTCCTTTACTAGGTGTCCTCTATCACCCTGCAGCCAATCAGAATCGAGTATTCACCCAGACCATGGTATAAAGAGTTTTAAAAGCAAGCGAGTAAAAGTAGGTTTTCAGCCGTGACTTAAAAATTGGCAAGTCAGGTGCAGATCTAACTTGAAATGGCACATTATTTCATAATTTAGGGCCCGCAATAATAGCAAAAGCACGATGATCTCTTTGTTTTAGTCTGAACCGTGGGATATATAGAAGTTTCTAAGACCTTTTTATTGCACTAAAAGCTATTGCATTGCGCTGAAAGTATTGCACTGAAAGAGGCCATTCAAAATGAGATTTCCAAACAAGAAAAACTTAAACCGGAGCTGCGGTTTAGCATTCTTCCAAACAACAGTCATGCATCCAAACTAGGATCCAAAGAGATGTTTATCTTGAGTGTCTCGGCTGGAACGACTCCCACGTTGAAGTCAAAACATGCTAAACGTTGAAATCAAATAACACGACCTAATAGGAGGAACACAAACCATTCTTGTATGTGAAACGTAAAACATTCATGCGACATGAAGGTCTCGCTTCGGGACGTTGAGGAAACAAATCATACCAACTTTTCTCAGCAAAAAGGCGAGACACACACTACCAATCAAACGTTTGGGATCGGTACGGTTTTTAAAGTTTTTAAAAGAAGCTCACCTAGGCTGCATTTATTTAATTAAAAATATACACACACAAAAAAACTAATATTGGGAAATGTGAAATATTATTAAAAGGTAAAACAGCTGTTTTCTATGTGAATATATTGTAAAATGTAATTTATTTTAAAGCTGTATTTTCAGCATCATTACTCACATGATCCTTCAGAAATCACTCTAAAATGATGCTCAAGAAACATTTATTAATATTATCAATGTTGAAAACAGTTGTTAACATTTTTTTTTCAGGATTCTTTGATGAATAGAAAGTTCAAAAGAAAAGCATTTATCTAAAAATCGAAAGCTTTAACATTAAACGCTACCATCAAGGATGAATTAAACTGATCAAAAGTGACAGTAAAGACATTTATAATGTTACAAAAGATAATATTTCAGATAAATGCTGTTCTTTTGAACTTTCTATTCATCAAAGAATCCTGAAAAAAACTGTTTTCAACATTGATAATAATCATAAATGTTTTTTGAGCATCAGATCCTCATATTAGAGTGATTTCTGAAGGATCATGTGACACTGAAGACTGGAGTAATGATGCTGAAAATTCAGCTTTGATCACAGGAATAAATCACATTTTACAATATATATTAAAATAGAAAACATTTAAATTGTCATAATATTTAACAATATTACTCTTTTTATTTTTAATCAAATAAATGGTGCGCAGAAGAGACTTCTTTTAAAAACATACAGAAATCTTACCGATACATGACTTTTGACTGGTAGTGTGAAACGTTAAACATTCATGAAGGTCTCGCTTCGGGACATTGAGGAAAGAAATCTTCCCAACTTTTCTCATCAAAAAGGCGAGACATAAAGGTCTCCTTGTGCACGTTTCCTGCAAACAAATATGAAAGTGCTGGTCATTCACAATTATTTTCTGCAACTAAACAATCCGAATACGGCATCCGTGCATTTCGGTTCTCACACGGCGAACGCTACACTTTAGAGGCTTTAACAAAACAATGGACTTCCTAAGTTTTGCACAGGCCTGACAGGACAATTTCCCCTTCTTAAAATGAGCGTTCCCTTGGGGACGTGTTGCACAATGTCTTCAACTCTGAGTCAATGCGAGTAATTGTTTCTAATTAAAACCCAAATGCCTGTTTTCACAGAGGCTGCTTTAAGGATTAGTTCACTTCAGAATTAAAATTTCCTGATAATTTACTCTTTCAAGATGTTCATGTCTTTCTTTCTTCAGTGGAAAAGAAATGAAGGTTTTTGAGGAAAACATTCCAGGATTTTCTCCATATAGTGACTTCAATGGGGTCCAACGGGTCCAAATGTGAGTTTCAGTGCAGCTTCAAAGTCTCGACACGATCCAGCCGAGGAATAAGAGTCTGATCTAGACAAACCAGCCGACATTTATAACAAAAATAAACATTTATATACTTTTTAACCACTAATGCTTGTCTTGCACTAGCTCTGTGATGCGGCACGCATTACGTAATCACGTTGAAAGGTCAAGCGGGACGTAGGTGTAAGAACCGACCGAACGTGCAAAGACTAAGTCAAACGCCATTTACAAAAATAAATAAATAAAAAGGTAAAACAACGCTGTCGGACGAGTTTTTCACCCTTCCCTACATTATCCGCCTACGTGACCTTTCCAACATGATTACGTAATGCGTGAAATTGTGGACGTGCAAGACGTAAAACGTTTTTTTTTTTTTTTTTTTTATAAAATGTCCGATGGTTTGTCTAGATGAGACTCTTATTCCTCGGCTGGGATCGTGTCGAGACTTTGAAGCTGCACTGAAACTCACATCTGGACCCGTTGGACCCCATTGAAGTCACTATATGGAGAAAATCCTGGAGTGTTTTCCTCAAAAAAAATCCTTGATTTATTTTCGACTGAAGACAGCAAATCTCTTGGATGACGTGGGGGAGAGTAAATTATCAGGAATTTTTAATTCTGAAGTGAACGAATCCTTTAAGTCTAGTCCCAGACTAAAATGCATGTTTGAGCTGTTCTAATTGAAAGCAACTTGTAATGGCATATCTTAAAATATGCCACTGCCTTTTCCTAAGGCACATTTAAAAAAGTTACTTGAATGTCCTAATTGCACTAAGGCCTAATCCTGGCTCAATCTAAGCCCTGTCTGTGAAACCGGGCCACAGTCATTAGGAAGTGATACCAGCCCGAGACCGATGGCTTCCTCAGAACATTGTCTTTTTTCACACACGCCATTTGCATTTCTTTGAAAAGGCACGTTTGATGTGACTCGATTCCCTGGGAAAATGTGGTATCCCTGGTTAGCGGGACTAACGCTGGATATTTTGAGAGGATCACACATCGGTTGCTGAGTCTCGTATTAACATCAGTCAAGATCAAAGGTAAATCGCTTGAGAAACAGACAAGGTGAGATCGTGATAATCTGACAGATTCCCGCCAGACAATTATGAAACCATTTTTGCATGTTTACATCTAAATATAGATGCATTTGGGCAATAATAATAACTTTCATTCTTCAACACCCTGACAACCTACAGCCACATTGATAAAGACTTAAAACTAGGGATGCACGATATATCGGCCACCATATCGGTATCGGCCGATATATGTTAATTTTTAATGTTATGGTTATCAAAGCCGATAAATGGATTATTTCCTTCAGCTGAGACACTTCAGATGCACAACTGTTCGCCATGATGGTTTTAAATTGCTTTAAATATAAGTGTAACATGTGCATAGGAATGCTTCCAGTGTGCTTGCTAGGTAAGGCTAGCCCATAGCTTCATATAAAATGCTAAATATAACATATTTCAAAATCTTTTTTTGACTTGACACCATTTTAAACCGCGACCGGAATATGATATTAATA